CTCAAGATGTTTGGTTATGGCTAACAAGTTTTCAGAATTTCCTTCCCCCCACCAGTATGTTCTACTATACCCATGGACATATTTGAAGCACATTCAAATACACATGTAGAAATATCCTGTTCCATGCCTATATATACTCTTGGGTATACTTCTATTCACCTTCCCACATCTATTTAGCTTGCATGTCTACTTACATACATATTCATAGACTATTGTTTGTTTTTACTGTTACTGCATGATTGTGCATGTAATAATATTTGCCTTTGTTGTTTTTTACCCTCATGCAACTCTCAATGTCTTTTGTGCTGACTGTCTTCTTATTGTATCCCACTTTTCTCTTTATCTAAGTTAATACGTGTGTGTTTAGTGATTTACCATCCCTTCCCCTACCATCTCTGATAACCATAAAAGAATATTTCTTTCTGTGTATAAACCTTTTCTTAATTTTTATAACAGTGGTCTCTATAATATTTGACCATTAGTGATTGACTTAATTCACACAGCATAATGTCCTCCAGGTTCATTGATGTTATGAACTGTTTTATGGATTCTTCATGTTTTTTAATATTGCATATATGCTATTGTGTGTATGGACCATAGTTTGTTTACCCATTCATCTGTTAATCGGCATTTAGGTTGTTTATATTTTTCTGCTGTTGTTAATAATGCTGCTGTGAACATGGGTGTGCAGATATCTAACCATGTCATGGCTCTTATTTCTCTAGGATACATACCTAGTAGTGGGATTGCTGGATCATAGGGTATTTCTATTTCCAACTTTTTAAGGAAGTGCCGTATCATTTTCCATAGCAGTTGTACCATTTTACAGTCCCACCAGCAGTGTACGAGAGTTCCAATCTCTCCATACCCTTGCTAGCATTTATTGTTTCCTTTTTTTTTTTTTTAACTCTGTTATTATTGCTGGAGTGATATCTCATTTTGATCTCCATTTCTCTAATGGCTAATGATCATATTTCTTCATGTGTTTTTTGGCCACTGAATGTCTTCTTTGATGAAATTTCCATCTTCTGCCCATTTTTAAATTGCATAGTTTGTCCTTTTTTGTTGAGATATTGAAATTTTCTATAAATTTTAGAGATGAGTCCTTTGTAAGACATACTGTTTCCAAACTTTTTTCCTAGACTATAGGTTCTCTTTGTACCCCTTTGATGTGCATAACTGTTTATCTTTTAGGAGGGTCTAGTTGTCTAGTTTGTCTTCTACTATTTGTACATTTTTAGTTATATTTGATAGTCTATGTATGCAATAAATTAGGGCCCCTAAGTTTGTCCCTATTTTTTTCTTTGCTGATCTTTATAGTTTTAGGCTTTACCTTTAGGTTTTTGATCTTGAGTTAGGTTTTCATCTTGAGTTAGTTTTTACTTATGGTGTGAGGTTTGGCTCCTGTTTCATTTTCCTGCAAACATGTCCAGTTTTGCCATTGTTTGTTAAAGAGATTATCTCTTCCCCATTTAATTGATTTCAGCCCTTTGTTGAATATCAACTCTCTCTAGGTGGATGGATTTACTTCTGGGTTCCATTAATCTATGTTTCTCTCATTGTACCAGTACAATTCTGCTCCATTAATCTATGTTTCTCTCATTGTACCAGTACCAGGCTGATATGACTACTGTGGGTGTATAGTAGGTTTTGAGATCAGGGAGCATGAGGCCTCCTATTTTGTTCTTCCTCTTTAGTAGTGCTTTGCTTCTCCAGGGTACTTTTTCCTTTCCATATAAAGTTGGTGATTATTTTTTCCATCTCTTTAGAGAATGCTGATGGAATCTAGATTAGGATCACATTACATCTGTAGATTGCTTTGGGTGGTATTGACATTTTCACAATGTTAAGTCTCCCTATCCATGAGCATGATATAATCTTCCATTTATGTAAGTCTCTTTTGCTTTCTTATTGTAGTGTTTGTATTTGGTTTTTCTTTTCTTTCTTTCTTTTTTTGGTTTAGATTTTTTAAAAAATCTATTAAATCTGGTTAAATTTATTCCTAATTATTTCATCTTTTGGGTGGGTCTTGTAAATAGTATTGCTTTCTTTATTTCCTTTGCAGAGTTCTCTTTGTTAGTGTAGAGGAATCCAACTGATTTTTGTAGGTTGATCTTATACCCTGCCACTTTGCTGAATGTTTCTACTTCCAGTAGTTTTCTTGTCAAGGCTTATGATTTGCTACGTATAGGATCATATCTTCTGAAAATAGAGATAGTTTTCCTTCTTCCTAATTTGGATGCCTTGTATTTCCCTTTCTTGCCTTATTGCTCTGGGTAGGTGTTCCAATACAATATTGAATAGAAATGATGTTAAAGAGCATCCTTGTCTGGTTCCTGCTCATGAGGGAAATGTTTTCACTCTCTATTGGGGAAAATGTTGGCCATTGGTTTTTTGTGCATGCCCTTAATTATGTTAAGAAATTTCTCTTCTATTTCTATTTTTCTGAGAATTTTAATCAGGAGTGAGTTTTGGATTTTGTGAAATGTCTTTTCTGCATTGATTAATATGAACATGTGATTCTTTTCCATTGTTTTATTTATGTGGTGGATAGTTTTACAATGTTACTGACAATTAAGAGTACCATTCTTACTACAATGTAACCAACACTGGGAATTATTTTCAGAGATTTTTGGCTTATTTAGTTAGATGTGAGAACATGCAATGAAATTATCTCACTGGCCTTGAGGAGAAGCACTTTCTTGAAAAAAACTAAAGAGCCAGTGGAGAACAGATTTAAAACCACTTCTTCCTTCCAAAATCCTGTGGATCATAATTTAATATTGTCCAGTACAGTGCTGGAAGATATACACAGTGGCCAACAATTAACTCCAGTATACCATTAATCATGAATATGGTGGAGGACAGGGCAACATTTAATTCTATGTACATTGGCTCAACCATGAGTCAAAGCCAACTTAAGGGCACTAACAACAATTTATCTTGAATGCAGTAAGGCATAGTTCCCCAAGTGTGGTACACAGACCAGCAGCATCACCTAGAAGCCTGTTAGACCTGTGCCTCCTTGGCCCTATCCAAGACCTATGGGATCAGAAGCTCATGGGGCAGAGCCCAGAAACAGGGTGTTCACAGTCTTCCAGAGGATTCTCCTGCACACTCAAATTTGGAACACTGAGAGTACCTCAGAAATAAGAATACCTCAGAAACACACTAGCCCCTGAATACTAAACCATGAAAAAGGCTAGGAGATTAGGTCAAAATTTAAAAGATGTGACTTTTGAAGTTTTATAGATTCAGGTCATACTCTTGGGCCACATAGCAGCAGAGTGACTTATGGTCTCAGGCCAGACCCTCAGGTTTTGGCTTCTGTGGGGTCTAGCCTGGCCCATGTATGGTTGTATGTCCATGTCTGGCTGAAGGATGCCTCCCTGTGAATGCATCCCACAGATGCTGGAGAATCCTGCCAGACCCACTGGTACCTTCGGTTCACTGCTGCTAGTAATGGCATGGTCCCCATCACAACCACCCGGGGCTGCCAGCTGAGCCCAATCTGAGGTATTCTGTGTACACATGTATCTTTTATGCTCTGGAATCAGCCAGAGAGGTGATTGAGATGGATTTTGGGAACAGGATTACCTGGCTCACCTAATAGTAAACTTCTGTCCCCAGGACAGATACAACTGCACACTTATTTGGGTTAGGGATGCTGAGCATAATTTTTTGAAGCTATCACTTTGCTCAGTCACATCAATTAAAAGTTCTACTATGGACTCTGGCTTGTCCTCCATAGGTTCTGAAGTGTCACTAAGCAGATGGTGCTGGCAAGCTTCTGGATACCACCTATGGAAGAAGATTTGAGACATCATCAGAAAACAGAAGCTGTCTAACTGAATTGATGAAAGCAAATGATTTCATAGGAACTTTCTGTTTCTCTTCCCAGAACTGAATCTTCAGTTCTTTCTAACCACAGGAGACAGCCAGGAAGGCAGGGAAGTAGAACTGGCACAGGAGCTGTAGATCCAGAGAGATGTTCTGAGTCAAAAGGCCTACATGTGTTATTCATTAATGCAACTGCATCTGCCCTGCTGCTTATAGGAGAGGTTTCCAGGAATGAGTGGACCAGCCTATGGCATAGGCACTTCCCATCTAAGGAAGGCATGTTGTCTTCAGACTAGCCAGGAATTAAAATGTCCCAAAGTATCCAGTACCTCACCATATTGAAAGGCAGAAGCAATCAATGAAGGAATTTTTATTAGTTGCCATCGAGCCACCTCCTACTCAAGGCAACTTGGTGGATAACAGAATGAAATGTTGTCTGGTCCTGTACCATCTTTATGATCATCGGTATATTTGAGTCCATTGTTGCTGACTCTGTGTATTTTGAGTGCCTTCCAACCTAGGGGCTCATCTTCCAGCACTATATCAGAAAATATTCTGTTGTGCTCCATAAGGTTTTCATTGGCTAATTTTTAGAAGTAGATCACCAACCTTTCTTCTTAGTCTCCCTTAGTCTGGAAGCTTTGCTGAAATCTGTCCATCATGGGTGACCCTGCTGCTATTTTAAATGTTAATGGTATAGCTTCCAGCATTATACCGACATGCAAGCCACCACACTATGCTAAACTGACAGAGGGATGGTGGCAAGACAAATGAGGGGAGCACAAATTATAAGGAGCATGCTGGTATCTGCTTGGCTAAGGTAAAAACAGCTACTGATTATGCCCAGCCAGGCCTCAGCTCATGAAAATGGATGGAACATGGATAAATACACATGAGTATACACACACATACACACATGCACACAGGCTTTGGAATGACAGAGTGGTTGGGCAATCTACTTCCGTAGCGATACCATTTCAGAAACCCAAGAAGGGGTCACTGTGAGTCAGGTCTGACTCGATGGCAAATAACAACAACAACAAACAACTCTACATCTCTGTTTCTGCATCTGGTACCAGTGATAAAAGGAAGGGAAGGATCATCTCTCCAAATAACTGAATTGAGAAACCTCTCTCATAACCAGTGTCTCTTGTCTCCAGGCCTTGTATGGGCACACAAAGGCTGTTACATGCCTGGCAGTGTCGATCACCTTTAGCCTCCTGGTGAGCGGCTCCCAGGACTGTACTTGCATCTTGTGGGACTTGGACCACCTCACACATGTAGCCCGCCTGCCTGCTCACCGGGAGGGCATCTCTGCCATAGCCATCAGTGACATCTCGGTGAGACCTTTGTTTCTCAGTGTTTGTGTCCTACTTGTGTCTGTGAGCCTTCATGGAAGCATGATGGACAATGTCCTGAGAAAAAGCCCCGGGGCAGGGAAGTGCTAACTACCCAGGATGATGAGCAGGCCCCAAATGTATGGCACATGCACTATAGGAGCAGAGTGCAGCCATCAACACACACAACACTGGGTCTAGCTCTTGCTTTTTGCTGAGGAGTCTGTTCTGCATGGCCATCAGGGAGATGGTACAGGAAGATTTGGCTTTGGTGAGGGTCTTCCTGGGCTTGATTTAAGAAATTCAGCTCATGGATTGCAAATCAGTGCTTGGCAGGTGCCTCTTATCACCCTGGCAAGGATCTCTGCTTGTCCCTCCATGCTGACTATCAAAGGTGATATATATCGTGTGTGTGTGTGTGTGTGTGTGTATCATGTGTATTGTGTGCCTCCCAACATTGGCATGGTCCCAGATGGCTCTGTGGGTCCTCAGTGACAGTGGCTACTACTTCACTGGGCACAGCATAGACAGAGCTTGAGGAGTAATGACTCCAGACAAGAACTTTCAGGATACAGTGGAGATATGCTCCTCAGAAATTGGCTCCTGAAGTAGATTGCCCAATCTTCCTTCCAAGGAGTGGCTGGTGGGTTTGAACCACCAGCCTTCTGATTAGCAGTCAAAAAAAGAAAGAAAGAAAGAAATTGGCTCTTGAGGAGCATTGCCCAAGTTTATGAGCTACTTGCAGTTGTTGGAGCCTCTGCCCTTGCATTCTACTAGAGAAGTCTAAAACTTCTTCATGGGGGCAAGGCTGGCTAGATGTAGGCCCAGTGTCCAGAGCCAAGGGAAGTCCCCATGACAGTCTATGTCATTCAGTATCTGTTAGGAGAGTTTTGTGGAAGGAGTCCAGGTAGTGAACCACTTAGTATGTGCTGGGAAAAGCAGTATCTAAAGACATGATTACAGTTGCCAAAGAGCAAAGAGTTTTCAGTTGACTAAAAACACAATTGACCTATGAGTTAGCTTCTAAGAAGTAAGTGCCCTGAAGAGTCTTGGGGTACCCTGGTTCAGAAGATGACAGGTTGAAGTGTTTGGGTATACAAACTGGGTGGCTAAGTAAGTGTCAGAGGGATGGACAGGCAGTGATTCTAGCTTGTATTGTTACAGGGCACCATTGTCTCCTGTGCTGGAGCCCACATGTCCCTATGGACAGTCAATGGACAACCCCTGGCCAGCATTGCCACAGCCTGGGGCCCAGAAGGAGCCATAACCTGCTGCTGTGTAATGGAGGGACCAGCATGGGATACAAGCCATGTCATCATCACGGGGAGTCAGAATGGCATGGTCCGGGTAGGTATATCTTGGGCAGAACCAAGTCATGGTAATGTTTTGATCTCTATTTTGTTCACTTCTTCCAGGGGTCCAAATCTGCAATTACACATTTAGGCCTTTCCAGACTTAGCGCCCACAGCAAGTGAGGGCAAGGCAAGGCATTTAAATTGAGGCTTAAATTAAGGCTGGTCCCTGTCCTCTAGCAACAGCAAATCTATATTCAGAGCACATGACAAGCTGTGCAAAGAGGCACTGATAAACAGGCTGAGGCCAGTGGGTAGGGCATGGGGTGTATAGAGGGGCACAACTGAGTGGGCTGTCTGTGGATGGCTGCAGGGAGGGCAAAGGGGCATTACGTAGGGAAATACGAGTGAATTAGCCACTGGGTGTCTGTCCTGTAAGTCAGGGAAAGAAAGATACACTTACACTTACACTTTCGGGATACAGTGGAGATATGCTCCTCAGAAATTAGCTCCTGAAGTAGATTGCCCAATCTTCCTTCCAAGGAGTGGCTGGTGGGTTTGAACCACCAGCCTTCTGGTTAGCAGCAAAAAAAAAAAAAAAAAAGAAGAAAGAAAGAAAGAAATTGGCTCCTGAGGAGAGTTGCCCAGGTTTATGAGCTCCTTGCAGTTGTTTAAGCCTCTGCCCTTGCCTTCTACTACTAGAGAAGTCTAAAGCTTCTTCATGAGGAGGGGTAGGGTGCTGAACTCCTCCCAAGCTGCAATTTTGAGCAGCCAAAGCTTTCACAGGAAAACTAAAGCCTAAATAAAGTTTTCCTGAGAATAAATTAGCATCAGAAGTAAAACTGAGGCCAAGCTCTACTTATTCTCTTAGGGCCCACGCAGGGTCTCTACCTTATCTCAAGGCATTTTCTCTTTTGGACAGATTTGGAAGACTGAGGATGTGAAGATGTCTGCTTCTGGGCACACGGTGGCAGAGGACTCCTCAGCTCAGCCTTCAAGCCCAAAAGGTACCTGCCCACTAAGGATACAGCTTGCCTGGACCTGGCATGGACCCTCCCTGCCCCATCTGTCCTTAGGCCTAGGCCACAGTTCCACCCAAATCTGCAGGCCCCAGAGAAGCTGAGAGGCTCTCAGGATTGCTGCTAGGTTTTCAGAGGGGAAGGGGATGTTGTCTTGACTGTGAGCTAGCTGCTGGTGGAATGTGAAGCAGTGGAGAAGCCCTGTTGAGTGTTGGGCCTCTACAAGCTCTGTGATGCTATTTGGCATGGGGACAGGAGCCATGATGGTTTTTAGGGAGTCCTAAGCTTTAGGGGGGGCTTGATTTTAGCTCACTCTCTGCCTGGATGACTCTCCAATGTCAAACTTCCCAGTCCAGGGCTTGGGCCCAGCTGGCTATTGGCCTGGCAGCTGGGCTGCAGATAGGAAGAAAGGGAGGACTTTGGGGTGTCCCAAGAGAAGAAGAAGTGGTCCTATCCTGCCTCAACCTGCCCCCTAGTCTCAAGCTCAACCACACAACTCTCTGTGGCAAGCTCCTCAAAAAGGGTCTGAGCACTGTCTGCATTAGAATCACTAGGACACTTATTAAAAATATAGATCTCAGGTCGACTTCCTCAACCCAACTTGCTGAAAAAGATTTTGGCAATTGGGAAAGAGGTGACAAGCTTCCCAGCTGAGTTTGATGTGCACCAAAATAAGAAAGCCACTATTCTGGACGAAGCCCTCTTTGAGTTGTAGCAGATGAGACTGTAGTAAGAAAATCTGTTCCATCTTCTACCATCACAGCCACTGCAACCACCAACACCACAACCACAGTTTAATTAAGGTCTATAGTGGTAGAAGGCTGACCATACATTCTTTATTTCTCACAGCAACCCTACCAAGTGGGTATTACTATGATACCCATATCATAGATGAGAAAACTGAGACACAGCAGTGTTCAATAATCTGCCCAAAATTATGCAGCAAGTTTATCACTACTATTATTGCCACTGCTGCCACCATAACACCCACAGCCACTACCAGAATGATCTTCACTACAGATACCACTGCTACTGTTATCTCCATCATCACCAACATCACCACAACCACTGAAATCACCACCTCCACAAAAATCACCATCAAAGCTGTCCCCACCTCGGTTACCATCACAGCTGTCATAACTGCCCCCACCATCATCTTCACCTTCTCCAATGCAGCCAGCCTTTCACATAAGCTTTGTCATCACCAAAGATTGTCTCCTGCTCCTTGGACCAGAGTTGAGTTGAGACATCTTTCCTAGGTCCTTGTGGTTAAAAGGGATATGTTAGTACAAAGTGAGAATTCTCCTGTATCACAGACCTTCTGGTAACCACCTGTTTGTTCTGCATTCTGGAACCTGTTATCATCCACCAAAGAGAATTTCTGGATTGCTGGAGGCTGCCTTCTGAAAAAAAACTGTTTTTAATCAGTTCATTTCTAAAATGCATCACATGCTCCTTGATTTATTGAGTCTTTCACTGAAGAATTTTTCTTTCATGTGACCAGGCACAGGCATGTGGTCAACCTCTCCTCTATGACAGGGCCTAAGCTGTGCCTTGGGAATCTCTTCCTGCCAAGAGATCATGATCCAGTGGCCTTTCTCAACAGCCTGAGCTGACTCAGAGCAGTGACCCCATGAGTATCCACAACCGCATCCAGCCACAGTTCACTAATCCTTATATCTCTAGGATACTTTGGGACCAGAGCATTGGTGGTAGAATTTTTGCCTTCCATGAAAAAAACATGGCTTGGATTCCTGGACAATGCACCTCATGTACAGCCACCAGCTGTCTGTCAGTGGAAGCTTACATGTTGCTATGATGTTTCTATGATGAGGTTTGCTATGGTGCTCTGGAGTTTGTAGACTAATGTACCAGGAAGAAAGGCCTGGTTAGCTACTTCTGAAAATCAGCCAGTGAAAACCCTATGATCACAATGGTCTTATCTGCAAGATTGGGCATTCTTACTTCCGTAGTGATACTGCCTCGGAAACCCAAGGAGGGGTCGCTATGAGTTGGGGCCGACTCGATGGCAAAACAACAACAACAACAATCATGGGGCTGGCCCAGGACTGTCCAGTGTTTTGTTCTGTTGTTTATGAAGTCTCTATCGAAGGCTGACTCAAGACAACTAACAACAACAACTTTGAGACCACAGAATCAATCCATCTCAGCATGAAAGGAAAGAAGTATAGGGCTTGTGTATTCTCAGAAACTCTAGACACTTCTTGTGAGAACTGGGGCCAAACCCTCCCCTCTTCCCACTCGGAGTAGAAATAGTACATGGTCTTTGTTCTATCATAAGCCCGAGAACACTCCATTTCAGTCTTGGGCTCAACTGCCCATTTCTGAAGCTATCAAGGCCCATTAAGCTAAAGGCATTAGCTCAGCCCATGGTTAGTAATGGATATCTGAGAAAGAAGCTGGGTGGTGAATGGATGGATATGCAGATGAACAAAGGACACACCAAGGCCATTCCACTGTATCTGGGAGTGCCAGCATCTCTGTTTCTGTTCAGGATCAGGAACTGTGATAAGGCTGTGCTTATCTGTAAGGGATCTAGAAAAATGAAAAGTAAGATAGAAGGCAAGAAACAAGGCATTAGACCCATCTCTGTCACCAGCAACTTCTCTAGGCCTCAATTTTCTCCTCTGTCAAAGGGAAGCATTTCTCATACTACCTAACTTGAGAGTGCTGATGACAAAAAGTATAGATGTAGACAAGAATGTGCTGAACAAAATACAGGTCACAACAACCATTTTCTTAGACTCCTATCAGTTTCTTGTCTGTGAGCACATGAGTTGATGACATTAGAAAACTTACAAGATGGTTTCAGACCCACAGGAGGCCCTAAGGAGTCCACTCCTTCTCCTCCTGATTGTCCTGATCCGAGGTCACCACTGCCTCATACAGTGACTTGCCAGGATTCTGATTACCGTTCAAAGCAGGATTCTGATGAAATGACACAAGGGCATAAACATTTCTGAAAATCAGCCTTGGCCACAGTTTGGAATAAACAAATTCATGGGCAGATGCTATAAACCTAATCCATTGAAGTTCTTTGTTAAGGAAGCATATTCTCCTACTAGTGTTCAAAACAATTTGGCTGTACAGGAACTAATATTGGGCACGACACATGGCATTTGCACATACGTCCTCTTGGAATGTATTGCTGCATCCCTCAAATGTCTTATGGTTCAAGAAACTAGATCTTTGAAGATATTAAAGATACTGCATTTGTGGGCAGATACAACCTGATTTCTACTTTGAATTCATTTGTCATTTGCAACAAAGACCAACCTCGTGGAGTTCTATTCATTTCAAGGATCACCCTCTAGATTAGGAATCAATCTGATACATTACAAGTACTTGAGAAAAGCTTGTTTGGAGTTGTGCATAAACTTTAAATTGCCTTGTTCTGCTTCAAGGCAGCACCCCCTGTACCCTTCTTGCATTTCCTGGCACACAGGGCTGTCTGCACAGAGGTGGCCACCCCAGAATAGCTGGAACATCAGCTTCTTTCCTGCCCTGACACCATTGGAGTGACTTTACTGGGCTTTGTCCCACTGGATGATCTCTCCATCCCACTCTCCACATGAAAGGAATTAGTGCCTGTCTCCAAATGCAGTCATTATAATGAGTGAAGTAACAATCATTGAGTTATATATTTAAAAAAAAAAAAAGTTCTCAGCATTTAATTATTGGTTGTGGTGTGAGAGGATTTAGATAAGTTGATAATGCCGACTTTATGCAATTTATTTTTACTAGGCAATTATGGGCTGCATTACATCCTGGCAGCAAGGTATTGTGGGGCATCTTATTAAGCATAAAGCCAGTAAACACTGATGAACAATTTTGCTGAACTAGGCATGCAATTTAGAAAGCAATAATACACAAATCCAATTTGGTACACAATGGATACCGCAGCACGTCAGCACATGTAACTATCACAGCCTGCAAATTAAATTGGGACGGCCCTTTTTGCAACAGCACAGGCCAAGATTAAATATATTTTCCCCCTCAATTTAACAACTTGCTGACCACAAATATGAATGTGTGTGTGTGTGTTTGCATTCCTATGTATAGATATGCACATGTGTAAAGCCATTCAGGGCTTTCTAAATATTCTCTTGGACTTTGCTCACAGGTCACAAGTGGGAGAAGAATCTGGCCCTGTGCCGAGAGCTGGATGTCAGTGTTGCTTTGACGGGGAAGCCCAGTAAGACTAGCCCTGCAGTGACAGCTCTGTCTGTGTCCAGGTAACTACCACCTGGTTTCTCCAGGCCTCCAGCAGAGGGCGCCACAGCCACCTCTAGGCAAGTCCAGAGGCCCTGGGCTCAGGCCACCTCCCTGCAAGAACCTAGAAGGGTCCCATACATGCCAGATAGGCGAGGTGGCCTGTGCAGGGCCCTAGAAGATGTTTTAAACACATACATGCTTACTCTCTTTCTCTTGAATATTATGAATTCATAAATTAATACAAAAAGTAGAATAGAATATATAGTTTTATAATTTTATTCTAAAGAGGAACTTTTGTCCTTATCTCCAATACTCATATAACATTTGATATCATGATTATCCTACATTAACAGAAAATGTCTTTTGAGGGCTCTAAGTTAACATGAGGCGATTGGTGGTTCAGTGGTAAAATTTTCACTTTCTACCAACCAGCCACTCCTCAGAAGCAAGGTTGGGCAATCTACATCTGTAGTGATACCGCCTTGGAAACTCAAGGAGAGGTTGCTATGAGTCAGATCCGACTCAACAGCAATGTGTTTGTTTTTGTGTATATGGAAGATTTGGGTTCAATTCCTGGCCAGTACACCTCATACACAGCCACCACCCATCAATGGGGGCTTGCAAGTTGCTATGATTCCAAACATGTTTCAGTGAAGCTTCCAGACTAAGATAGTCTTTTTTTGACTATGGTGGTGTTGGAGGACTGGGCAGCTTTTCATTCCATTGAGCATGGGATTGTCAAGAGTTGGGGGCAAACTCAACAGCAGCTAACAATATAGAATGACAAGTGTCAGACACTTCCCTCTGTATGTATTATTTTATTCCTCCCAATAACCCAGGGGAGGTAGTTACTGTTACTAACTTCCATCTACAACTAAGAAATTGCCTCAATAGATTGTTGGCCTTCAAGAGCCAAGTTCTTTCCTCATTGCCCTGGAGTGGGGCATTCTGGTTTCCATGTGGGAAACCACATTGCATTTGAAGTGCCAGGTTGAGGTGGGTGGGACTGGGAGGGTGAGGGAAGGAGGAATAAAAGTCCAGTACTGAACTCTTTGCTGGAGAATTTGAAATGTGTTCTGTCCTGAGGACTGGCTGTGTCTCTCACAGGACAGGGAGACATCTGATGATATTGGAGAAAAAAGGCAGGACCCAGCTTTGTTCCTTGGCGCCTGGGTTTCTTTCAGCTCCCCTTCAGTTCTTTGGGAGCCATTAATCACAGCTCAAAATGTCCCTGGGGTTCTGTAATGACACAAATAGTCTCACCCTTCATTCCCCTGTTTCCAAGAAGATGAGGCTAAGTGTGGGCAGTGGATCTAGAATTGAACCCCCATATTGCAGTTTCCTGACTGTTAAATTCACATGCTTGCCTTTAACACCCTTGTGTTTTCATTCTCTTCCCAAGAAACCAAACCAAACTCCTGGTTGGTGATGAGAAGGGGAGAATCTTCTGCTGGTCTGCAGATGGGTAGGAGGAAAGAGACAGCACTGGGCACCTCCTTGGAAGGCTCCAGAGCAGCAGCTGGTGTGCTCTGAGGGCAATGGCACCATGTAAAAAGCCCCAGTGATGCAGGACCTGAGCTTGGCTGCAAAGGAAACCCCAGGACCTCCCCCACCCCCATGGCAATCAGAGCCCACTCAACCCTCTCCATGGCCTCAGGAACTCCACCTTTGATTCCAGAAAGATGTGTTTCTACAAGAAGGACAAGAGCACACGTTGAGGGGCCTGTAGGCAGCTTGATGATAGTTGCTGAAGCTATGCTTCACAATAAATTACTCAAAGTCGTCTTATCAAAGGATTTATTGCACTGAAAAAAAAAAATCGTGTTGCTTACTGGAAACTGATGGAAAATAATAAATATGTTCCTTTTTTATTGAACTAACTCTTTTCCAAATGTGAGAAGTCTTTTGAGTTTAAAATCATTGCCATTTTCCACTTGGTTATTTGCGTCTTTCTGTTTAGAAAGGCAGAAAAGCCTCAAGGAAGCACAGCCCACCTTCAGTGTATTTCTCAGCCTATACCTCATCTCTCTTGGGAACTGGCTCCTCCCTTTGTCTTGCTCTCAGTGCAGGGGATCATGAGTGTGAGTGGCCACAACTAAGGAGGCTGTGCTACAGGGTGCTGCCAGAATAAGGCCCATTCTGGGCTTTGGGAAGTCAGCCTGTGTTGATGGGCCTGCCCCACCTCTGCCCCACTCCTGTCCACCTGTCTGCCCCATCTCCGTACCCACAGTAAGTGGAGAGTCCCTGCAAGCTTTCTCTCAGCATGCTCTTCCTAGTGTCCATCTTTACATAGAGGCCAAGAGTCCCAAGCCCACTTGTTGACTTTAAGCTGGAGCTCACTGTAGGGAAACCTTGACACTGTTTGACTTTTGCTTCCCATTTACAAAACTTATGGCTGATGGGGTAGTTAGATGAGCTCTCTTGAGAATTCCAAGTACCTCCTAATAACAGGAATTGGGTAGTCAAGACATCACTTTCAATCTTAGTGTCTCCTTCCCATCCCAAGTTCCATCCAAAACTCCTTGAGAGGAAATTCCCTGTCTCTTTAGAAAAATCAAACTCAGGTAGGTGCATGGGATCTAGGAGTGGCTAAGATACTTAGTTTCAATTCTTGTTTTAGTTGCCTGGTGCAGCTATAACAAAAAATACCATAAGTGAATAAATTGGCTAAAAGTCCAAATAAGTGTCTTGGCCATGTTGAGGCCTTCTGTGGAGCTCTCTTTCCTAGTTTCTGCCATCAGTCCTTGGCATGCCTTTGCTTATAGATGGATCTTCACAGGGCATCTATCTTCCCCTGTGTATATGACTCTATCTATTCTGCTCTTTTTGCAAAACACCCCTCAGAAGTGAATAGGTTGAGGACCTATTCTATTGTGAAAATCCCTATTTCCAAACAGGGTCCTATTGATAGGTAGAGGGATTAGGACTTCAACATAACTGTTTTGGGGACATAATTTGATTAATAACAACTTCTCTCCCTCAAGATTTATTTTCTACAAGCCAGTAGGAGTCTGAGTCTTTCCCATAGTTCTCTAAGCCCTCCATATTTCATCATGCCCCTACTTAATTTCACTCAGACCTGGGAATGGCAAGAAAGAGAATTTGACTCACTATCTTTGGACCCAGGTTCATCTATCCTCCAGAGAGACAGTGAGTCAACTTAAAGATAAATATTTTCAAAATCAAGGTGGTTTGCAACTATAGCAAAATAGTGAGTGATGGACACTTAGGACAAATTGCTCTCTCTGGATGCCATGAGGTCTTTGCCAAGGAGACAATGGCAGAGGGAATGTATTACAAGTCCAAGCAGCCTTCCCTGGGTGAGAAGGGCATGTGTCTGACCCAAAGGCCAAGGATCTTGCCATCTCAGGCACTGTTTGCAGGAGGCATTAGCAGATAGCCCATTTGCAATCCCCTAGTCAGTCTGGACTGCAAGGGCGAGTCATAAATTTAAGAGCAGAGAGCACCACTCCCAGGAAGGCCAAGAAGCAGGGTCATAAATAACAGGCTGAGCCTGCTGTCATTTTTTAAACACAACTCACAGCATTTACTCAAGCTGGAAGGTCTCTGCTGGCCAGAAGCTTGGGTCCATTCATTCAACAAGGATTTCCTGGCCACTGCCTTTCATTTTCCCCATGTTGTTGTTGTTGTTATATGCCGTCGAGTCAGACCCGACTCATAGCGACCCCTCCTTGGGTTTCCAAGGCAGTGTCACTACAGAAGTAGATTGCCCCATCTTCCTTCCGAGGAGTGGCTGGTGGGCTTGAACCTCCAGCCTTCTGGTTAGCAGTCAAGTGCCTTTAGGCACTACACTACCAGAGCTCCCTCATTTTCCCCATATCAGGAGAAAATGGAAAGAGAGTATTGTTTTGGAGTTAAGATGTGTGTGCAAACAAATCTAACTTGAGGGCTAGAGACAGAGTAGAGATGCCCCATGCCTGAGGGAAAGCATGATGACATTCTGACCAAAGGCAGTGGCCCTAGAATAAGGAATGCCATTTGTTGAGATGGAGAGGGGACATTACAAGATGAAGGGGTGTTACTGGAAAAGGCATAGGGCATGATGGGCAAAGATCTCAGGCAGTTTGGAGGCCAAGAGAAGGACTTGATATTGCTTTGGATGGGGCTGTGGAGGTTGGGGGCAGGGCAAGAGGCAAAGTGAGTGTGAGTTTGGGGGTCATCACCCCATAGGTGATGCAGTCCAGTGCCCTGCTTACAGATGATGCCCCATGAGGTTTGTTAGGAATGAAGGATGGTGGTAGACATTCTGAGTTATAGTCCTGGGAGTGGAAATCATGAATGATGGCAGGTTCAAGAAGTAGCCACTCATGGGTAGCATGTGGCCAAGTGGCAGATAAGAGGTAAAGAGGATTTGAGGCAACTAAGTTGGGCATTATGTTAAGGGCAGGCTGTGGCTAGGAGGATACCAGCACTCATGTCACAGTAGCTGAGATCCTCCCTGGGAACCTGCAGAGGTCAGGGCTGTGGGCTGAGCAGGCCCCATGTAGAGGAGGCCAGGAAAAAACAGTCACTATTAGGGCCACTCCAGAATGCTCACATCAAGAGGTGGCATAGTGCCTAAGGCATTTGACTGCTAACCAGAAGGCTGGTGGCTCAAACCCACCAGCCACTCCTCAGTAGGAAGGTTGGGCAATCTACTTCCATAGTGATACCACCTTAGAAACCCAAGGAGGGATCACTATGAGTCTCAACAACATCGAGACCTGGTTGTGGCAACAAAGCAAGAGTCCATGTGTTTTCCCCAAGACCTCTAGGAGCAGCTCTCCATTACCTGAAGAAAGGGGAACTGCTCTGTGCTCACTCAGAAGGTGAAGAGAGACACCATAGGGCCTTTCCAGACAAGGCCCATCTGCAGGGCCCAGGGGTCAGAAGCAAATTATCTGGAGTGGACAGAGTTGAGAGAGGCTCCAAAGTGCAGAACAGGGATGAGGGAGAAAGGCCCAAGCACAGCAGAGGTAAGAGCCTAAAGATTCCAGTCACATCTGTGACACAAGGTCCCTGCTGGACTTGGTGGGGACAGATGTCCAACAAGTTGGGCTGCAGCGTCCAATAGGTATCCATGATGGACAGAGGCCCAATAGAGAGTAGGCTTTAGCACCAAGACCATCAACACAGTGGAAATAACAGAGGAACCATCAGGGTGAAGCAGGCATGATAGTTCCCTGAGGTCCAGAGGCAAGGACCCCGTGTATGATGGGCCAGTCTGGAGAGCCAGACACAGGAATATAAGGACACCTGGACATAGAAGCCATATCCAGCCATGGGACTGCAGATTGATATTTGTGGACCAAGTTCCGAGGACAGGTATTTGCAGTGAGGAACAGGCAGTCTGGGTCAATCCCTGCCTCAGCCATTACTTTCTGTCACTTCTGCTTTAGTTTCTAAAACATTGGACCCTGCCCAGTGTCAACCTCAGGGCTTGTTGTGAGACTAAAATCACATCTCTTCATTTTATTCTTTGGAGGAAAGGCAGATGACAAACTGGCTGTCTCAGACATGGTTCAGTCGTTCAATCCATCTCTTACGATTCAGTCACTCATTCATTCTTCTTGCTAAGCCTGTCTCTGTGCCTGGGCTCTGGGGACAGAGAACTGCCCAGCTCCTGCCCCTGTCTCCACCCAGGAAAATCACTGTCTGGGCTGAGGCAGACAGTGAGGACACATAATAAAGGCAGGCTCCCTCTTCCAGAGCCCAGAGGTTTGTAAGGCTGGAGCAGAGGCTCCCATGCTTTGGAATGCATTGCTTTGGAAACATCTAGAATGTTAGTTCAGTTCTCCTGACCTGAACTGTTTACCCATCTCTGGGTGACTTTGATGGAGGGCTCCCTAGCTCCCCCTTGTGGAAACTCTGGAACAGAAAGCAGATAGCAGCTTTTGCCCTCTGTTGAGGTGCGCCCCAGCCCCTGCGGTTAGGACCCCATATTCCACTCACTTTTTCCTGCTCAGCTCCAAGACATCAGCCTGTGCATGGATCTCACCCAACTAAACTCCTCATAAGAACTTCACACCCAAGAGCTATTCAAGCTTCACCCCCGAGCCATTGTGGTGACCTAGGGTCCCATGCCCACCCTGACCAGCAATGTCAAAGGGGAAGTTTCCACTCAGTTCCCTCCCAAAGAAACACTGCTTTTGATGTATTCATCAAGGTGGCTTCTCACTCACTCAGGGCCTCTCTCAGTCTGGCACACCCTGGTCCCAGTGAGACCAGACACCCCTCTAATGACAGTACACAGAGAAGGACAGCAGGGTCTCAGTGCAGATTTCAAAGAGGAAGACCAGCAGTCAGAGGTGCACTTACATCACCCAGGAAACAGCTTCATCCACTGTGGGTCCCAATTATGGCTCAGGCTGGATCTCTCTCCATCTGGACAGGTCTGGGCTACATGGACATATTTAGACTAATAAAGCATTTGTTGTTTCTCTGAACTTCAGATTCAACTGGGCATCTT